CTTCTTCTACTGAATTGAACTGTTATGCACTTTTGTCAAAACATCATAATTAAGTAGAAGATAATGAAGTAAAAGGTAAGGATCAATCATTGAATATGAGCTGCCCAAATGGAAATTTAATGTTAACTTTCACTAGGACATTACATTTAGATCTTTTAAGATTTTTGCTTTATTTAGTGTTAAGGACTTGTTTCTCTTTTTGAGTAAACTGATTAATTTCTTTTTATTTCTTCTTTTTTTTTTCTTGCCTTCCCTCCTTCCTTCCTTCCTTTCTTTCCTTCTTTTTGTCCTTTCTCTTTTTTTTTCTTTCTTAGTCCACTGGCATCTTTAAAGGAAAGTGAGCATCTCTATGACTTATTTTAACCCATCCCATCAGAAGCATGGAAAGGAGTAAATCAGAACAATGATTATGTGTTGTGAAATAGATAATAAAGTGGTGATAGATGACTATTATTGTGGTGGTTATGATACTGTCAAATTAAATTCGTGTACAATGTGTCCATTCAGAAATCCTGCAAAACAGAAAAACTATTCCTTTTTTTTTTTTTTTTTGCCTTTTTAAAAGCTTTGTTTTAAAAAGACACCTTCCTGTCACTGGTGCTTATAAGTGAATAAAATGAAATTGATGCCTCACAGGGGAAAAAAAGGAAAATACTTCTTTACTTTGTATTAAGAATTCGTGACATCTTTGCTGTCAGTGATAGTGAAGTGAAATACATACCAAATATGTCTTGACATAACTTGACAGAAATGTATGTCTTCTTTTCTCTCATTTATTTTTGTGATAAGAATATGTGATTTTGCTGCCAAGGAAGCTTGTAATGTTGTAGAGAAATGGAAATGAAATTGTGTTGGGTATGTCCAATTTCCCCTGACAGAGTGGCATAAGCTATAGCACACAGGCAGCCTTGGGAAGTCAACAACAGGCCTCAGCCAGCAAGACCCAGACACTGACATTTGTCAAAACAACTTTCCTCAACACATCAAAATGTTCCTTTCTCTTTTGTGTTATTCAGATGTGTTCGGGTAACTACATTTTAGAAAATGGTGATTGTCAGAAAATTATTGCCATCCACATGCGAACGATATCAGGAGAAAAATCTTGTCTTTTCTACTTAAGTATGGACCTATTCCATTTTGGTTGTTATTAATCTGTGAGGGCCCTTTAAAACAAATGCTAAATCTAATGAAATTAAAAGTATTCTTTTTGTTTTGTGTTTTTTCTTCCACAATCTGACAAAAGTAAACGATACAAATCAGTTCTTTCTTCTTGTCAAAGCATGACACAGAGGGATGTCGCATGTTGGTGTGGGCTTGGTTTATTATTCTTGAGTTCATTGCTTTGTATAATCATTGCCTTTCTTAGAACTCAAATCATTTGGGTACCGCTGGCCCTTTAGGAAGTGTTCTATCCTTAATTTCTTACTCTATTGCTATGGAGCAGTGGATGTTAGGTGAGGTGGGTGTTAAGCACAACAACATAGCATTTTATGCGACCCTTCAGTTCTATCTTTTTGGGACTCTTTTAAGGATGCACACACAATTTCTAGAACCCTAGCAACAATTTCTACAATAAATGGTGTTTGAAGCAAGAATCCCTTACCTAGGGCAGACAGAAAGAGAATCAGCCCAGCAGTGTAATCATTGCTCTGCTGTTTGAAGGAATATTGAGCTCAGATGCCTCCAGAAAGCCCACCAGGCCCAGAGGCACTGGACAATAAAAGGGGAAAAATAATAGACGCCAATGCTTTATTAAGTATATTTTTTTCTCACTTAGGTGTCCATTCCCTGGTCAGACAATTAGTTGAGGTTCTTTCCAGAGAAAGTGTTACCCACCAAGAAAAACTCTTTTAACCTTTCAAAATAACAAATATCTTTAATGACTTTCATCCCCTTTCCATTGACATCACAGATACAATGTGGCCTGTCTTGAAGTCAAGCCCAAATTGAAATCACTGCTGGCAGGGACAGGAAAAATAGAACATTTGACAATAAGAGTGACAGATGAAGCATTGGGGACCTTAAAAGGGAGAATAACTCAAGCTATGACCTGGGACAGAAGTACTGCACCTTCGTAAAATACCTGCCCAATCTGTAAGTTGATAGGCAGGTACATTTGCACATGATAATGAGATAAATGCAATGCTTGATAGAAGTTGGTATTATTTTCCATGTACATGTTTAAAAGGAAAGCTAGACATGGTTTCTAGCAAGAACTCTTTGATTACAGACCAACCGTTTGTCACCACATTCCCTGGGGAAAACATTTTTATTTAGTTATATGAAAGGATAACATTTATTAGAAATATATTTTAAAATGGGACTTCCTAAATTTGCTGAATACTGCTACAAATGATTAGTTAGCACTTATAAGGGTAACAGTTAAAATATCTTAAACATATGTTTCAGAGATAAAGGCAACTTCTTATAATATCCCTTGACTAATTTGCAGAAGGGAGGAACTATATTTCATGATTTATGTTATGAAATCTATTAGTTGCATCCCAACTTTCTTTCTTTCTTTTTTTTTTATTTAAATTGTGCTTAATTTCTAACTGATTACTTGAATTAGGGGTAAAAACCTCAGTAGGATCTGTCAATTTCTAGTGATTTCTGTAATCGATTCCTAATTGCCTGTGATTGCTTTGTTGTGCACCTTAGAGTCCTTTAAAACATGATTTGTTTAAAGCTATTCATTCTTGGTTGGCTTGGTGATTGGTAGTGAAGTTGTTCTAGTATCACCCATTGCAGTGAAAATTTTCCCCACGTGACAGCCATTGTAGGTCTTTCATATCAGGTGTATGTATTTTACTTCTAGAGCTGTCAGAGAAGGATTTAATTCCAGTAATTAATTATTTGAGATAAGTTTCCCAAGGAGTCCTCAGCTTAGATTACTTTAGAGGCGCTGCTTTCTATTCAAACAATATGAAACCTTTTAGGTCACATGAATAATTAAGTTTTGCATCATTGAGAAATAAACACATAAGCCTACATTTCTATTGAAGTTTGCAAGTCCATGGATGGCGAGCAAATGTGTGTTTCCCTTTGTGGATAATAATGGCAGAAAGTCATATTGTTTATTTTGCCTTTGATATAAATTTAAATCAAATAAGGACGGTTCAAGTTAACACAGGGAAAATCCAGTTGCTTAGCTGCTTCCCTGGGTCCACATCTTAACCCACTTTCAAATGTTTTGGGGCTTCACAAAGCCTGAAACATATTTTACCATGCCCCTTTTCCCTTATTTTACAAACCAATGTAATTTTAAAGAAGAACTTAATCCATATGTTTCTGATTAATCTTTACTAAACTCATCAAAATGGTGTTTTGTAAGAGTGATTTGGTGTCCAAGAAGTCTTTTGAGTCTCTCTGTAACAGGCCTTCTTAATACCATTTCTCTTTGAAGCAGGAAGTTGTGTTTTGCCAACACTAAAGAAATTCAAACCCCCAAAGGGTTATGATCAGTTTGAAACTTCAAGCCCGAGGGCTCTGTGGTGTTCTACACTTGGCAAACAGGCTACTTCCCTTCTGACTTTGAAATACCTTATTTTTTTCCTCCCACAAGAAATTCTCTATTTATTGTTTTGCTGAAATACATATTTAAAACTATCTTCTGATTCTTTGATACATAAAAGTATATGAACTAAAAGGCAGGGCCTAAATTTTAATTTACTTTAAAGCAATTTCATTGGATTATCCATTTGGATTTTTCTGTAATTCCCTATTTCCTGACCCTACCTACACATCTTTTCGATTTGGGTTTACCCAAAGAGTTACCAGAAAAGGTGACCATGAAGAGCCTACAAGCTGGAAATACAATAAGTACTGGGTGAACATTGGCGTTCCTACCCAGGTTACCCAATAAAGACATATTTCTTGATGTACTAAGCTAACATCTGACACTATATTTTGTACTATTATTTATGTTGACAACCAAAAATTCAATGCAGAAGATTTTGAATAATGTGCTTTATGTCACAAGGTGAACCATAATTCATAGTTATAGATGTTTGCTAGTTTTCCAATGTAGTTCATTTCTGTTTATATGTTTAAGGGAAGACCTGTATAATTTCACTTTGTTTTTTATACAATGGGTGAGAAAGAGGAGAGAGAGTGAAAAAGAGAAAACAAAATAGTATGTACAGCAAGTTAAGCATCCTGACCACTGTGGTCCTTTGTCCTAACTGCCTTCTGGCCATGAAGTGGGAGTGCCCTCTAGTGAAACTTTAAAATCACTGGAAGATATTGGGTGTAATGTGACTAAGGTTTTCTCCTAAATTCTTGTTTCAAAAATCTTTGGGCACTAACAATTTGCATAAGTTTTGAGTGCGACTTAGAGAAAAACACAAAATACTATCAAGTAAAACTATTTCTTTAGGAAACAAATATGAATAGAAATGAATATGTTGCTGTCAATACCAAAAAGTATGTGTCTGTCTTTGTCGTCTATTATCTTTCTATCTATCCGTTAATATCTATAGATCCCAAGGACACATAAGTAGCATATAATCCACACTAGGACTATGGTTATCTAAATGAAAACTTACATAAAAACACAATTACCTACCTTTCAAGAAGATGGATAGTAAATAAATGACTTTGAAATGTGAAAGTAAAGCAGTAGTAGCAATACACACAAGTAGTAACCAAGAACTAAAAAATATATTTTGCTCAATGTACGATTCCAAATCTCCCTGTAGAAAGCAGAACATCCTCATTGTGATAAAATCTGATGTGTTCTGAAAAAAGTACGAGACCAGGAATCAGAGTTCTTGCCCTGGAGTTCACTTACCAGCTGTGTGAGCTTGGGCAAAACATTTAACCTCTCTGAGCCTCGGGGTCATCGTCTGCAAAATGGGGCTTAAGAACACCTGCCCTGCCACCTCATCAGGTAGTATTGAAGGAGATAAAGCGTGGGAAAGGGTTTTGAAGTAGATAAAGGACCACGCTGTGAAGGTATTATTTTTCTGACATTTCTCTTCTGTCTTTCTCCTGAGGAGATTTCAAGCAAAGTCCCCTTTCAGGATGGAGAGGGAGAGAAAGGAGACCCTTCTCAAATCCTCTGGAGTCAGGAATCATTGACAAAACAGCTTTCTTCCCAATGGAAAAGGGTCACGGAGAAAGAAACAGGTGGCGCCCGCGGAAGGATGCAGGGCGAGACATTGCCACCGCGGACCCGGAGCTGCGGCGAGGCCGACGCCCGCGGGGAGGGCGCCCGGCCAGGAAGCGCGGCGGGGCCGGCGGGGCGGGCGGCAGCTGGCGGGGCCGGCTCCGCGTCCTCTGGGGTCTGAGGCAGCGGCGAGAGTTGCAGTGAGTCTGATCCCCACCTTGCACAGGGAGAGAAGCCCTGCAGCACTAGGCTCTGTGCTTCTGTCTTCTTAATCCCTCCTCGGTTACCATGCACGCAGAACAGTTCCCAGTTTGTCTTTCTAAAATGAAAAATATTTTAACTTTGTTTATGCCAACAGTAATAAACTCTTCATTAGAGCAAACAATCTGGTTTGTTTTTTTTAATCCTTTTAGTTTCAGGAAGTTAAAACTTAGATTTGTGCTGTTAAAATTCTTTACTTTTCTCCACAGAAAGCTTTTTTAGTGGGGCATGGTTTCTCACCAGGTATGTTTGCTTTCAAGAGAGCTTTATGTGTTTATTTTTAAAATCACGACGTGTCTAGGGACCTTAAAGTATATATTTAAAATTCTAGATCTTTCTCTCTTTTTTTCTTAGACAACACAGGTACCTTCTATGTACTTATTGGCTAGATTTTTACTATTTGTCTTCTGGACAAATGTACATCTTCTTTCTTTTGCCAGGAGTGAGAAACTGTTTCTTGTTTCTTTACTCAGAGGTACTTCACATTGTCAGACATGCACAATCAATCTTGTACTTAAACCTTTGTGAGGAAACACAACAGATGGATACTGGGAACATGGTTGCCATTTGGGCTCTGGTGGATTCATGAGCTGCCTCCACAGCCATGACTCTGGTGGTAAAAGAAAAAAACCATAAAGTTGATCTCTAATGCTATCTGACGGGTTCTGTGCCTGCTGTTTGTGTCCTCCCTCCCCATTTGCTCTAAACAGTTGGCATGGAGGTGAATGGGGTGTTACTTCTTCCTCAGAATAAAATTAAACAAGACACTCAGTGGGTTTTCAACTGCTCAGGAGTTTATCCAAAAGAAGTGAACCATTACACTTGAATGACTGGGGCTTCCATGTCATAAAATTGCTCTTGGCTAAAGCTGGAATTCACTTTGTCTAGGCTACATGCACATGTATTGGTAGAACACCACAACTCCTCATTGAAAATTTGGGTTCCTTCTGTATTAGAACCTTCTCTGACCTTTGCTGAACACCACAAAGAAACCAAATGGTAACCTCTGTTTGTCTCAAATTTTCCCCTATTAATGCTTGGTCCAAGTCTACATTTCCAGCCAGTCTTTCATTTAAAAACACAATCTCATTCAAAACCTGCCTGGTAACTTTATCACTGGGGTAACTGTTACCTATGATGCAGGGCTGACCTGGGTCCTTGTAGCACTTGACATCATCTTTTGGACGGGTTACAGAGCCTTTTGAGGGAGTTGTTAGAAGCAGGCTCACCCTGCAATGCAGAACCGGTCACAGAAGAAAATTAGTGCATTTATCTGTCAGCATTAGACTAGATTTTCAATCCAGTTCACTAGTCACAGGGTCTGGTTTTCTCTTCCTCTGGGAGATGAAACTGATATGCTGGTAGGTAGTAAAGGTGTCAGTTATAAATTGGACCGTTGGAGCACGCACACACGAAAAATAGACGAGAAGACTTTAAGGCCATAAATTTAGTTCAAGGCAAAGAATTTCCCTAAAAATAGTCCCGCTTGTTAAAACACTATAGGAAGAATGTATGTCAGGTAGCCGTTGGCATTATCAGAACCAGTTCACATTTCTTTTATGAGAACCAGTGTTTGCAATTCTCTCTCAAATGTGCTATTCCTTTTAACTACTTGAGGGAAAAAAAGATTTTGCTGACTCTGGCGCTAAATAAATAAATACCTTGATTAGTTTCTCCTTCATTGTTTCATGCATAAGTGAGATTGCAGCAAATCTGAGTTGCAAACACAAGGGACAAGTTTGGCAGACACCGTCAAGCTTCTCCCTATGTTCTACTCACTGTTTACCTACCATTTAACTAAATGGGGCTCCAATATCAACTCAAAAGAAGCATGTGGCCTTTTCTCAAGTCAGTGAGTGATCCTGTCCTAAATTGGTTGTTTCCTATCCTCAATCCTATAAAATAATCCAGGTGGAAACACTGAAGACAAACCTAATGTTAATGACCCATTACTCAGACACAGCACAAACTAGTGGTTAAAGTTAAAGTTAAAATTTTCAGTGTCCAGTGACTCCCACACTTCATACCAGTAGGGTCCACATGTCTACTCAGTTCAATAAATATTGAGTATCTGTTGACCTCGAAGCACTACACTGAACTATATGGGTTTACAGATCCTACCTCTGGACTCAAACAGCTAATAATACAGATTGAGAGAGAGATGATATCCAACAATCCACCATAGAATAAGCCAGAGTCAAATGCGAATTCAATGGGAGCAATATCAATACCATATTATGGGAAGAACAAGAGAAGGACTCTGTAATATACCATATAGGTAATAGTTTATTTCTCACTTAAGCCTTTATATATGTCACCTACCATGTTCAGGAATAGTGTTAGACATTGGAGATTTTTAAAAAATCTTCCCTTCATGGAGTTATATTCTCTCTAGGGTAACAGAAGTAAATAACTATAATCCATCCTTTTATCAACCTATTCCTTTCTCACTATATTGGATTTTCTCAGAGGATGGCCTTGTCTTATTCATCTGTGTCCCTAGAAGAGTACCTCACACAGAGCAGGCACTGCATACATCTATCTCAAAGGAAGAAATGAATGTTAATATGTGGCATGTGTGATAGCATTTCTAAAAGGCTTCATTTTTCCTGGATAATGAGGGAAGTGTGTTGGAAACAAAGATGTGGAAAATGACTCCTAAGTTTTTGATTTGGCACATGGTGGTTAGGGGTGCCATAAACACAGACAGAAAACACAAAGGACAACTAATCTGGGAAAAGACAAAGGTGAAGATGCTGAGCTGGATTTGGGACAAGGTGCATTGGAGGCACAAATTTATTAACACCTAACTCTTTGTTGAAGGTGATATGTAATGGCTGGGTGGAGAATGAAGGACCAACAGAAAGCAGTAGCATGTATGGGAGCAGGGGGCTCTGGACTGAGTTTGTCTGGGCTTAAGTCCTGAATTTGTCACTTACGATCTGTGTGGCCTTGGGTAAATTACTTAGTGTCTCTAGATTATTCATTAAATGCAATGTAATATTATAGTATCTCTTCTTAGGATTTCTGAGTATAAAGTACAATACAATACAATACAATAATATAAAAAGCAGTTAGTAGAGATTAAGTGTGTAAATATTAGCTGGTGGGGGGGGAGCAACATTATTAGCTAGTAAGTAAGTTTTCAATCTTTCAGTTTCATATCTCCTCAGCCAAGATCAAGACTCACTTTACTCATTATTCAAGAAATAAAGGAATAGTGATGTCATAAACTGAAGAAATAAGAAATACCCAACATGTCAGAGAAATTTATATCAGCCTTATTTCTCCAAATTGGTTCTGATTTCCAATTAAAAATTTAGGAAACAAAAGCCTCCAATGCAATTCAAAAGTTGGCATGGGTGCACTGGATTCCTAAACCATTAGCAATCGTATAAAAGAAGAAAAGTAATACAAATTACCCCCATAGCTGCAATATTGTTGCCACAATAAAAAGAAAGTCCCAATAGCCACCACAAACATTTAATACAAACATTAAAACCCATAGTTTTAACTGGATGATAAATGTGTACGTTACCCTATAACCTTTCTGTTTTCAGTTACTTTCTGCATTGAATTGTGGTTGTTTATCTGTCCTGAACCTTACACCCCCATAATGTGTAAATTCATTGTTTATTAAACAAACCAAATGGAGAAATGGAGTCAATAGCAAACTTTCCTTGGAGACTATTTCTCCTGCTTGGAGGAGCACTGAGAGGTCTTTGACACAAAGAGGACAAGGGCTGCTATGCTTATAAGTGCATGTGTATGTGCAAAATGCTAAACTTTGCTATATTATCCTCTTTTCAATAGGAGCACCATATACAGAAAAGGGAAAGTATACACATTTGTTGGCAAGCACCTTCTGCCTTGTTTCAGAGAGCTTTTCAAACAAGATCGAGATCTAACAAAAGAAGATCTAGTTCTGATCGGTCTTCCTGGGAGTTCTAGTTCCACCTCAGATGATGCTTAAACCACCCTATCTCTTACCAAGAGCGACCACGGTCCCCAAGGCCACCTCCCTGTTGTGTACAGGATGGCAGGCAAGCCAATGGGACTCCTCTGCCTGGTGACCAGTGAGCAGCCAACTTAGCTAAATGAGGTTCGAGTGTAGATGCAGCTCAAACGTGACAGCCAAAGACAAGGCGTGAAATACACATATTCTTTGAAACAAAGGGGATATTATTTCACAGGAGTCAATCAAAATTCTTTCAGAGGAGGTAAGGAAAAAAAGAACACAAGATTCTGGAACATTGAGGAGCCCTCAAACTCTAGATTAGGGACACTTTTGAAGAAACCATTTGTCTTTTGCTTATTTAAAGTTTTCATTTGAATGACCTTCTAAAAAAGGAGTTAAGTGAGGTAGACAATTCTTGCAAAAGAAATGCATGCTGGCTTTCTTTTCCAAAGATCAGCCTATAGTGCTCTTCTTCCTCTCACATCTAACTGATGGTGGTCAAATAAACTAATCTACAAACTGGACTTTTTACCATATGCTGGCCTAGATAAAACAAAGTGCTCTTTTCACATCTCATTTTATTAAATAATGGTAACCTGATAAAAAGATAACCCTGATTAAAAAGAGAACTTGATTACATTTTTAGTATACATTTTAAAATCTGTATTTCTTTTTTTGCAAATAAGTATAAGAGACATTGTTTACTTTTTTTCCCTCAGTAATTTTGAGGTTAGATTGTGTGGCTAGACTCCTGTGTTGGCTCACGAGGAGCTATATAATAGTTAAGTTCCTTTGTTTAATACAGTCACCTCTTCCATAAAGTCATTCAGGATGTTTTAGAAATCTTCCCTCCACCAATGTATCTCCAACTAATTGTGTACC